GCACGAATTCATAGGTAAACAGTTATATAATAGAAAAATACTGATCTTGAATTTGAGTGTGTTTTTATTATTAACAGATTTCGTCCCTCACTCATAACTCCAATTGATGATTCATTACCAGATTACATGAATTTATTAGGAATGGTATTTAGCATGTGTAGTCTAATGTTAAAGGTATGCACTTATGATAAGTATTTCAGATTTTTGAAAAGTGATCTGGCTTTTTTTTCGCCTTGACAGATAAAATGGTGTGCTTGGATCGCTATATTTTGTGCATTTGTTGGATTCGCAAATCAACGTGCGAATGATGATGCTAAACAAGTATTGAGCAGTTTCATGTACGTATACACTTCTATCTCCGTAAAAAACGATTTGACATAAAAGTTTATTGTTTGTTTTTCTAGGCTTTCTATATCAGCCGTTGTTGTTACTTATATGCAAAATCCTCAACCACTTAATACAAACTTTTTAAATATATTTTAAACGTTTGTTTTGTTGTTATCCTAATATTCTTTGATTTTTGTATTTTATTTATGAATTATATATGTCTTCATCTTTCTGTTTTGATTATAAGTATTTCATATTGGAGGCAACTGTTTTTAGTACCCTGGAGCAAAAAATGTCTGTTAGAGAATTCAATCAAGTGAGAAGAACACAACTAGGTTAGGTAATCATTGATAGTAAAAAGGTTTTAAAGATAATTTCTGCTTTATATCTAAGATGCTTATTTGGTTTGCTATGTTTTGATGGGATCTCTGACTTCGATTTGTGTAAAAGAAGTTCATGTAAGTACATCTTTTACTTAATAAACCAAACGAATATGTGATACTGGTAAGTCAATCTGTCTTATTGCATGAGATGCATTAAACAGAATAGTGTACGATATTTTAGTATAAATATAATCATTTGTTCAAATTCGGGACTGGAACCTTTTCATCCTTCGTTTCTGATGTATGTTGAGGTAGAACTGTCTCTGTAACACCAGTAGTAGTATCATCGCCATTAATCGATGTTGATACTAATGTTGTCAGTGTAGCCTCTAGATCTCGTCTAAGATTAGCATTGGTTGTTCTCATTATAATCAAATTTTCTCTTAGCGTTCTTGACTCATACGTTTCTTCATATGGCGTTGGTTCTCGTTCAATTTCAAAATCATTTTCGTATTTCAGTTGTTTAATATCATTTTCTAACTTGTCTATTTTTTGTTCTAAATCTTGTTTTGTTTGCATTTTATGCAAATAACATCTCATTGCATAGGCCATTCCACTTTTATATACCGTTTCATATTCATTCATTAATTGTTTATATTCATTTTTAATTCGTGCTAATAATAGTCCCCTTTCTGTACATTCCAATGTTGTTATTCGAATTAATTCATCAAATAAATCCTCGTAGATACGACGTCTCTTTGAACATAAACCAATTTCTAATGCTTGTTCATTTTTTAATAGAAAATGAAATTTTTCTTCTAATTGAAATAAATCATGTCTTGTTAACGGTGTTGTTGATGGTAATATAGCATGATTTTCATCTTCATAAGTTGATAATAATTTCTTTGATCGATGATTATTCCCACATTTTGGTTTTCGTTGTTGATCTTCTCCACCACTGCCACTCATATCGATAAAGACAGGAAATAGTAGAAGAAATAATTCGTTTGTATCAATTTTAAAATTGTAAAAGTCTTTCTTAAGATTTCGATATATTCGATCTGCTAGATAATATTCATTCGGTCTCCAAAATTTTGTTCGATATTTAAGTCTTCCATCTTTTGATGTTACAATAACAATATCTACACCTTTTACATGCTTCTCATTTTCATTATTATTGTTGTTGATGGCAATAGGTAGATAAGACTTTTGTTGACCAATGGCAAATAGATCATTTTCAAGGATAATTTCTAGAAGAAGAAGAAGAAATACAATTGTACTAAGTTAATTTTTCTTTTTCGAACTTATCTTTCTATTTAATATATTTTTTTGTAAGTGACTTTCAATAGTTTTGTCTGTATTTATTCAACAATACGAAAAAGATTAAATTTCATTATTTCAGTTAATAATTGTACCTTTCTCTATTATATTGTCATTGTTTATTGTAATATCAGTTAATTGTTTATTCATATCACTTATTTCACAGTAAACTATCGGTGGTGTACCATATTTATTTCGATAATCAATTATTATCTTTTTTTCCTGTTTTGATAATTTTGTCGATTTATTATATTTCAATAGACGATATTTTGGATGATCTTCATTTTTACCACATACATAGTAATCCATTGAATTATTATTAGTATTTGTATTAAGCATCTTTGTTTCTGAGATTGATATTTAATATGAACTAAGATTTATCATCTACTACTAATTGTATGCTATTCATAATTTAATTTTTTTTTCTTCTCTTTAACGTATACTCTTATTCTCATGCTCAATATAAGATGAAAATGAACAGGTTTTTAGTAGTTATAGATTTTAAGTGATAATGTTTTATCGGAAAGAAGACGAAGAAGGAAGAAGAAGAGAAATTCTATTATGTAAATGTCTACTTAGTATTCTGATATGTAGCAGGATAGAATAGAAAACACGTACTCAAGTATTAAAAAGTCGTTTAATAAGAGAAGTATTTTTCTCCTTTTCAGTAGTAATAATTTCCACTTATATATTCGGAAAAAAGGAGATTTATTCAGGTTACTAAACGACTCAATAATGATAACAAGAAAAAAATTGTTAAGAATTTGACTTTCAGGTCAATTAAGCGAACTTCGGAATTTAGCCTGCTTTCTAATGGATGGACAACACTATTCACTATGACTTGCTAACTTTTCAAGTTGTTATTCACAGATATTTTAATTACAAATTTTTCGAGGAGAGGGAAGTTTAGCAACTTACTCCGAAATATGAAATTTAACTTACTCCCACTGAATTTTAAATATAGGTCTTTTGTGAAACTCCTCCTGTCTTATAACGTAGAGGGAGTTTCAGTTTATACTCAAAAACCAGACGAATACTAGTTATTTTGGACCTCCCCTGCTTACATGCACTTAAAAAGTAGCCTTACACGATCTTAAAATGACCATTACGCTATCTTTGCACATCTTTTAGAGACATTGAGTTGTAATTAGATGTGTATGTACACCATCTGAAGGCTGGCTTTACATGATTTTACAGTGCTTTTACGCGACGTTATATCGCTCTTTGCTTTATCTTTACCCTCTATAGGTTTTTGATTGTATGTTAAATCTGACTTTAGTTGCTGATGCCTCTGCGTTTATGTTTCAATTTTCTACTACGGTTACATGAGGATATATTCTTTTCTCCTTGGATACTTTGTGGAGGCTTCTAATGTGTAGCCGTAGCCTCCATTAAGCGTTTTGCTCCCAGGTGCATATGCCAGATTACCATGAGAGAAAGTTTATTTTGGACCAGCAATGTAGGTCCGAAAATAAGTCACGCAGTTCGAGTACGATGCGATCTTGGATACTCCTAAAAATAATAGTTTTTTGTGAAATTCTTCATGTCATACCACGGAGAAAGATTTTCAGTTTATACTCCAAAGCCCGTAATATTTATCTTAATTTTTACTCACCATCCCCTTGCTTCCACGATCCTAAACCTAAATATGAACTTACACTTTCTTAAAGTGGCCGCTATCAGACCTTAAAAAGCCTTTACGTGCTCTGAAAAGTTTTACGCGACTGACGATGATACCGTTACGTGATCTTAGAAATACCTTTACACGAACTGAAAAGAGACTTTACTTGATCGTACAAAAGTGAGCTGATTTATTCTATAACGGTATAATTATGAGTTTCACATTTTAGCACCGACCTATCGCTACCCTGCCAAGGTTTTTGATTTTTTTATATCATAGCTATAATAAATATGTTCATAAACGGCTTTTAAAGCTATTAATTACGACAAAATTCATTGTTCATTATCTCATTATTAACATACTTTTAGCTTACTTTATCTTTTATCCGTCCAAAGTTTCTAATTATTTGTATGCTATTGATTTCTTTCACGACTTCGACTGCGCTGACGATTATTCTCATTTCGATTATTATCACTATAGTATTGAGAATTGGAGGTCCAAAATAACTAGTATTCGCCTGGTTTTTCAGTATAAACTGAAACTCCCTCTACTTTGTAAGACAGGAAGAGTTTCACAAAAAAAGAAAGCAGCCTGTTAAATACAGTTGAACTTCTACACGAGAGAAGAAGTTCGCTATAGAGTAGAAGTTCAACTGTATTTAACAGGCTGCTTTCTTTTTCTCTATCTCGATAAAATTGTATATGCGAAGTATCGATTGTTTATTTTCAGTTTGTTACTGATTACACATTAAAAAACGATGTTCAACATTTCAATGTCGATATTTTCTATAAAAGAAGACAATGAGAGAAAGGGGGTATTCTCGTTTCGTCGACAAAGCGGCCACTTCAAAGAATATAGATCAGAGAACATCAGAGGCGGGAGGGGCGGTGTGAGAGTGAGTTGTCGACGAAACAAGAATACTTCGAGGGAAAGATGATCATCGCAATTAGTATGGCCATAAATAAACATCATATATTTGATGATTCTTTTTCTCTGACATCAAAAATTCTTTTTCCATTCTTTCAAAGTTAACTGTGTACAGTCTTAAAAACTCCTAATTGTTCAGATAAAATCTGTTTTTCTCAGTGAAACAAATGTGATATTTGTGCTTAAAGCATCAAACTGCATCAAATGAAGTTTAACAACACATTTATAGAAAAATGTACTCCAGTCAAGTAAATGGACAAGAGGATGTTTCTCTGATATTTTAGAAACAACAAAACTCGTTTTTTAACCGTTTTTTGGTTCGAAACCGATTTTGGAGAAATAAAGAGTCGAATCTCCTCAAAAAAGAAAATGTGTCGATAAAAAATTAGAAATGCTTCTGGCTTCCTTTTCCTATCCGTTATATGTGTGTGAGTGTACCGATCGTTACGGCGAAAAATGTCTTGCATCGCACAAACGGAATATTCACTCCTGGAGACTTTGGAATTATAAAAAAGTCAAACAGATAAAAGCGTTCACACAGTGTATTACGAAAAAATTTGGAAATTCTCGCGTTAATAGTCTCGGAAGACATATTTATAATTTTTTTGGTATTATATTTGTTATAAAAGTAATTATAACTCTTTACTGTCCGCATGCGTTTAACAATTGAAAAAGACTTCCCATAAATTCTGATAGGTTAGCTGTAGAAACATCCTATTACGATATATACTTATGATATTGTCTACTCATTTTAAACATCTGTTTCAAGAATTCATAATATCCGCACACATGTCTGTTAGATTTTAGCAGACTATGTGAAGAAATATAATAACAGTCTATTGTGATCATATAATACTATCGATTTGTGATAATACTAATTAAATTAGTTAAACTCAAACATGTCCAAATGTCAACCATTAGTTTGGGCAAATATTGTTTATGAACTCTCGAATTATTTTCTGAACATTTGTTTGAATTGAAAATGATCTCTCTCAGCCCACAAAATAATATAAAGAACAAATTCGTTTCGACGCATCGAAGCTATACTCAATATTATAGGGTATTGTTTTGTTTTCATGCTACAAAAATGGCCTACGTGGAATTTTTACCGTCGAACAAAAGATTATTTTAACATCGTTTTTTCTCCACTTTTTGGCTGTATGCTGAAGTACTTGGTCAGTAACTAAGAAAATCGCTTAAAAATTCCATAAAATATAAAATATAAGATCCTTTACCTAGTAGAATTGTTAGATTGGGTGACGTCATTGTGACGTTGATTTTTCTTAGAAATGAAAAATGATTGAAACATTAAATTTCTGTCGAAATAAGAACAAAAAGAGGCAGATCTACTGATTAAGATAATAAATCTTCGTTGAGCAAACATTTTTTTGATTATTTTAAGTTGAATGGATGAATAGCCTATTATTAACCGCGTTCTCTCGCGGTTTCTAAGAACAAAAGTGGAATAGTGTTTTTTTTCGAAAAGGGTCAACATAGGATGTTTTGGACAGTAGACAATCGCTTTCCAGCAGAGAGGATACAACTTTGAGCTTCGTCATATTTTCTGAACCAACTAATATGTAACAAAATGGAAAACACTTATCAATGTATTTATTTATTATGCATTCAACCCTATGTCAATTATTTCGTTTTATTAATAGGCTAAAATCAAACACGGCACACCTCTTTTAATGAGAAGAGTATCATCTCGAAATCTCACCAAGAGATCGATAAATGAAGAACTAATCAGTTAAATTATGTATGTTTACAAAGTTGGAAAAATACAAAATAAAATATGAACAGAATAAGAAGAATATAACTGAATGATCGTATATTATCTGAAATTTTTCTATATGTGATGATTTTCATTATCACATAAATGAACGGAAGGTACATATAATGTCGTCGGTATTGGAATGATGGTTCTTTATTAATTTTTTGAATTTGTTTGTTTCTTCTTATTCGATGTTATTAAACGTGTAATTGGTTTTAATTCACGATATTGTATCTAGAAAAACATGCATATATTGATTGCTTAACAATGTGGGATAAATAGAGCCCTACATTGAGATTTTTTCGGAACTGAGTATTCTTGCAATAGATAACTGACGAGGGAACTGCCCCAAGTATCCACTCGCTTTTTTCTTGAAACCTAGAGGAGAATAGGTTATCGACTATGCTGATTCCGAATATGACAATGGTTTTTGCTGCTAGGCCTTCGAAGACCTGGTTTTCTA